CTTCTCTCGTCTCTCTCTCTCTCTCTCTCTCTCTCTCTCTCTCTCTTTCTCTCTCTGACTCCGTCTCTCTCTCTCTCTCTCTCTCTCTCTCTCTCTCTCTCTCTCTCTCTCTCTCTCTCTCTCTCTCTGACTCCGTCTCTCTTTCTCTCTCTCTCTCTCTCTCTCTCTCTCTCTCTCTCTTTCTGACTCCGTTTCTCTTTCTCTGACTGTCTCTATTTTTTTTCTCACTATTTTTTCTCACTTTCTCTCTCTCTCTTTCCCCCTCTCTCTCTTTCTCTCTCTCTCTCTATTTTTCTCTGACTATGTCTCTCTCTCTCTTTCTGACTCCGTCTCTCTTTCTCTGACTGTCTCTATTTTTTTCTCACTTTCTCTCTCTCTCTTTCCCCCTCTCTCTCTTTCTCTCTCTCTCTCTATTTTTCTCTGACTATGTCTCTCTCTTTCTCTCTCTCTCTATTGTGTGTGTGTGAATGTATGTGTGTGTGTGTGAGAATGTGTCTGTGTGTGTGTGAGAATGTGTGTGTGTGTGTGTGTGAATGCATGTATGTGTGTATGTGTGTGTGTGAATGCATGTATGTGTGTGTGTGTGTGTGTGTGTGTGTGTGAATGTATGTATGTATGTGTGTGTGTGAGTGTGTTTCCGTGTTTATACGTGTGTCAGTTACTATTTGCAAAGCCTCAGTTAAGCTGGGTGACAAGCCTAACTCTTGGGAATCCGCCATAACATATGTAATAAAAACATAATGCTCAGATAAACGTCGCAAAAATCTGCATCACGACGTTCACTTTGTCCTCGTCGCCTCTTGCCGTTGGGCTGGAGAACGTTCAGGGGCGATTCCAGCTGGTTGGTGTTGACTGGCGGTTGACTGGATGCTGACTGGCAGTGCTGACTGGCGGTTGACTGGATGTTGACTGGTAGTGCTGACTGGCGGTTGACTGAATGCTGACTGGCAGTGCTGATTGGCAGTGCTGACTGGCGGTTGACTGAATGCTGACTGGCAGTGCTGATTGGTAGTGCTGACTGGCGGTTGACTGGATGCTGACTGGCAGTGCTGACTGGCGGTTGACTGGATGTTGACTGGTAGTGCTGACTGGCGGTTGACTGAACGCTGACTGGCAGTGCTGATTGGCAGTGCTGACTGGCGGTTGACTGAATGCTGACTGGCAGTGCTGATTGGTAGTGCTGACTGGCGGTTGACTGGATGCTGACTGGCAGTGCTGATTGGCAGTGCTGACTGGCGGCTGACTGAATGCTGACTGGCAGTGCTGACTGGCGGTTGACTGAATGCTGACTGGCAGTGCTGATTGGTAGTGCTGACTGGCGGTTGACTGGATGCTGACTTGTGGTTGAATGTTTGCTGACCGATAGTGCTGGCTGACGGTTGACTGGCTATTGACTGGCTTGTGGGCGAACCTTGCAGACGATCAAGGTTCGAGGACGACCCAGGGCCAGGAAGGGAGAGCGAACGAGATCCCTGTAGGCTGGACAAGGACACGCGCGGAAGAGTGTTTGTTAAAACGGTCCTTGGTTGTCGGCGGTGGCGATCAGCCGATTGCGTTTGCTGCAGGGCAAGAATTTAATACACACAAACACATATATGTATATGTGTATGTATATGCACATATACATGTGTATATGTGTATATATGTGTATATGTATATAGATAGATAGATAGATTTATTTAACCTAACGTAACGTAACGTAACGTAACGTAACGTAACGTAACCTAGCCTAGCCTGACCTGACCTAATCTAATCTAATCTAATCTAATCTAACCTAACCTAACCTAACCTAACCTAACCTAACCTAACCTAACCTAATCTAACCTAACCTAACCTAACCTAACCTAACCTAATCTAACCTAATCTAACCTAATCTAACCTAATCTAACCTAATCTAACCTAATCTAACCTAATCTAACCTAACCTAACCTAACCTAACCTAACCTAACCTAACCTAACCTAACCTAATCTAACCTAATCTAACCTAACCTAACCTAACCTAACCTAGCCTATATATATATATATATATATATATATATATATATATATATATATATATATGTATATACATATATATGTGTGTGTGTGTGTGTGTGTGTTGTGTGTGTGTGTGTGTGTGTGTGTGTGTGTGTGTGTGTGTGTATGTGTGTGTGTGTGTGTGTGCATGTGCATGCGCATGTGCATGTGCATGTGCCAGACAGCCAGGCAGAGAGCGAGAAGGAGGCGGAGAGCGCGAGGAGAGGCCGCCCGACCACCGCCTCTGGTTGCCAAGGCGGGAGTGAGAGCGTTGGCGCGGGGGAAACGAACGAAAAAAAAAAAGAGTCAGCAAAGTTGGAGAAAATCTACGCGACAGTAAATCAGGCGAAGTTGTACCGCTTCCCTTGTTAAAAGGTCGTGGAAATAAATCAAGAAAGTCCAACTACTTCTGCAATAAATTAGGTTCGAATTTCTTGCATGGATATTTAACGATATTTTAGTGATAAACTTCTGGCTTCCGCATTGTCCCCGAGATTAAACTGTCACTGTCTGATTTAGTGAGTTTATTAAATAGGCTCATTTCACGCACACACATACACACACACAAATATAAATAAATAAATAAAGAAATAAATATATATATATTTATATTAATTAATATATATTAACATAGCACTATAGAAAGGTGTAGAAGAGGAAAGAGTAAAGAGAGGGGATTAGATCGCATTTTAGGAGAAATGTCAGGAGGGAGAAAATCCAGGGAAGGGGGTTTGTTGTGACAAAGAATCACACGTGTATCCAGGGGGGGGGGGTGCAGACGAAGCATTGGGGGATGGGATGTGTTCGGAGGGAGTGGGAGGAAGGGGTGTAGGGGGTAACATAAGCAAGAGAAAGATGGATGTCGGCAGTTACTTTGAGTGTAGAGGAAATGGGAGCAGAGACAGTAGGTGATAGATGAGGTGTAGGTATGTTACCTTGGGCCATGATTAGATAGTTTTGAATGCCCACGAGAGTTTCTAAAGTGGATTTGGTTGGGGAGGTCTGAGAAACGAAGGTTTTCTTATGAGGAGAAGTGATAGGCATCTGAGAGGTAGAGCAAGAGGAGGAGAACAGAGTATGGAAGGAGATGGGATGGAACGTATAGATTGTAGAGCGAGGAGGGAGAGGGCTAGGTGTTGGGGCAGTGGTAGAGATTGGGGTGTCTGGATTGGGAATTGCAAAAGAATTTGATTGAGAGAGGAAGGGGGTGGAAGTGGAAACGTAAGATGGAGGATGAATAGATACAAGGAGGATGTAGAAACACCTTGGGAGGAAGGGTGAGGGGCGGAGCGGAGGGAAAACCTCGACGACGTGCTTCCTGTCTAGCCTTACGTAAAGTGAATCTCAGCATTGCTACCTCACACCGTACCTTGTAGGTAGGGCAGCCCCGATAAAATACATTATGGGAGCCACCACAATTGGCTAACCTGCGTGATTGCACTGAGCAGTTTAACTGTGCAACGCTAGTGTTTGGCAGGGTGGCCTAGTCGCCAACAATTCTGACACTGACGGGGAGGTCATGTCTACGGAAAGTAGTCTTGACAATACTGGTGGAGGACTTCCGGCGGTCTCTAGGGGGAACGGTGTAGCACTGTCTGACCAATCATTTCCGTAGACAAGGCAATTTGTCGGGGAAAACGGAGACAGTTCCGGTACAAGTAGTGAGGGAGGGATGAGGCTGGGCAGGAATGGGTTTGCCAGTGAGATCAGTCAGGGTTGATAATGCCTTGGCCTTGGGATTCGGATATAACTGAGACAAGACGGGAACGATCGATTATTTTTGGAGGCATCGCTGGAAGAGGAGACTGCTGTCTGAGTTAGGAGCTGTAGAGGGAATCACAAAAAAATCGATCCCATAAAGTATTCAGAAAATTTGTAGAGGTAAGAATAGTAGATGGACAGGGACGTATGGAAGAGGGCGTAGTGTTGAGAGAGGTAGTACTGTGGAGAGGATGACAGTAAGGCTGCAAAATAGGAATAAGGGAGGAGGGGATAATAGGTGAATAAAGCTCTAAGAGTGGAAAAGGTGAAGTAGAGGATGGTGGGAGAGGAGGAATGTTTTCTGGGAGTTGAGTAATGACATGATTGGATGATTTGTACTGGACTGAGGGGGGGGGGGGGGGTAGTAGTAGCAGTGTTCAGTCAAAGGAGAGCCTTGGGTCAGAGAATCGGGGGAATATAATGTGTGAGATTTTGCACTCTTATTGTCAATAAGGGTGCAAAATCTTCCTTACTGGCCATGTTAAGCCTAGTGGATGTTGGGGAGAGAAACAGTCCACCCCTCTGGGCCTCCTTGAGACTAAGGGCTCGACAACTAAATAGGGGAATACAGCACCCATGGCTCCCCCAGGCCGTTTATGACTGGCACACAGTCAGCCTTTCATTCTTGCAAGACGGCTCTCAGACTTTAGAAAGTGGATAGCAGAAGGGGTTGGAGAAGAGGAGGAAAAGGAAAGGGGAAGCATAAAAGACCGTGCAAAACTTATTGAGTCGAGGGCTGAGGCTCAAGGCAGGGGCGATGTGTGTGTGTGTGTATATGTATATATACATATATATACATATATATATATATATATATATATATATATATATATATATATATATATATATATATATATATATATTTGTGTGTGTGTGTGTGTGTGTGTGTGTGTGTGTGTGTGTGTGTGTGTGTGTGTGTGTGTGTGTGTGTGTGTGTGTGTGTGTGTGTGTGTGTATCTTTTTATCTTTTTCCTTTTATTTGCTCTTTTCTTTCTTTTTCTTTTTCTCTTTTTTTCTTTGTTTTCTTTTTCTTTTTCTTTCCTTTCCTTTCCTTTCTTCTTCCTTTTCTTTTTTCTTTCTCCTTTTCCTTTTCCTTCAATAAAGACTACTCAAATGCTGTCAATCTATTTTTTAATTATCATATTCAGCATAAATCTGCTTTAGTTTACTGTTGATCGCTTTGCTGTCACGTTTTCTTTTAAGTTTCTAGGAGTAAACCAGCTGTAGAAAACGTGAATATTCACTTTCATTAAAGGTCTTGAAAAGCTTTTATTAGATTTTCTTTTCTCGTGTTGACATATGGAAAGTATGCATATAAAATTGAAAAAATCTGAAAAACAAGTAAGTATATTTGTTATGCTATTAACGGCTTGACATGAATTGTAATTTTCCGTTTTATATTAATTTCATTATAGTTATCATTCCTGACTATCATACATACATGTATACACTAGCTTGCATATGTACATATACTTGAATATATAGATGTTACGTACATATATATATATATATATATATATATATATATATATATATATATATATATATATATATATATATAATTACAGAAACGCATAATTACATATATACATATACTTGCAGGAGAGAAAGAGAGAGAGAAAAAAAATGCGAGCGAGAGAATGAGAGAGAGAGAGAAAGAGAGAGAGAAAGAGAAAGAGAAAGAGAAAGAGAAAGAGAAGAGAAAGAGAAGGAGAAAGAGAAGGAGAAAGAGAAGGAGAAAGAGAGGGAGAGAGAGAGAGAGAGAAGAGGTGAGAGAGAGAGAGAGAGAGAGTGAGAGGTGAGAGAGAGAGAGAGTGAGAGAGTGAGAGAGTGAGAGAGTGAGAGAGTATGAGAGTGGAGAGAGTGAGAGAGTGAGAGAGTGAGAGAGTGAGAGAGTGAAGAGGGAGAGAGTGAGAGAGTGCTAAGTGAGAGAGTTAGAGAGTGAGAGAGTGGAGAGAGTGAGAGAGGTGAATAATATTATTATCATCATTAATAATAATAAATAATGAAATAATAATAAGAATAATGATAATGCTAATGATAATAGTCCATAATATCATAATTGTCATAATAGTCAGTCCCATAATTATCATATATCATAATAGTCATAATAGCATAATAGTCATAATAGTCATAATTAGTCATAAGATCTAAATATCATAATAGTCATAATAGTCATACTAGTCATATAGTCATAATAGTCATAATATCCTAATATCATAATAGTCATAATAGTCATAAATAATAATAATAATAATAATAATAATAATAATAATAATAATAATAATAATAATAATTCATGGATAAATAACCAAAAAATAAAATAACAGTAATTAATCAATAAATTATATAAAAAACACAGAGATGGAGACAGACATAAAGAGAAAAATGCAGAAAAAAAAGAAAAAGAAACAGACAGAAGTAAACAAGACATAAGACTAGGAGATTCATGATACTCACTGCAGTTCAGTTCTGCTGTTATGCATTTGAGTACAAAGTCACAAAAGCATCAAATTTCTCTTTGTTGTACGTCATCAAGCCCAGAGACAGAGACAGGAACAGAGATATACAGGCACACAGGGAGGGAGAGGGAGAGGGAGAGGGAGAGGGAGAGGGGAGGAGAGGAGAGGGAGGAGAGGGAGGAGAGGGAGAGGGAGGGAGAGAGAGAGGGAGAGAGGGAGGGGGAGAGAGAGGGGGAGAGAGAGGGGGAGATCTATCTATCTATCTATCATTTGTGGGGGAGAGGAGGGGGAGAGGGAGGGGGAGGGGGAGGGGGAGGGGGAGAGGGAGGGGAGAGGGAGGGGGAGAGGGAGGGGGAGGGGGAGGGGGAGAGGGAGGGGGAGGGGGAGAGGGAGAGGGAGGGGGAAGGGGAGGGGGAGGGGGAGGGGGAGGGGGGAGGGGGAGAGGGAGGGGGAGAGGGAGGGGGAGAGGGAGGGGGAGAGGGACAAAGATATAGACATAGATAAAAATAGAGAAAGAGACAGACAGACAGAGTGACTGAGACAAAAACATAACCTAAATAGAGATAGAAACAGAACTAGAAGCAGGGACAGAAATTGAGCGTATATTTTCATGATAACAGTTGCTAAACTGTTTATGAATATTCTTTCTCTCATGTATCAAGTACAGTGATGACTATTACTGTGCTTAAATATCCTGTGGTGATGCTACAACATGGACTATAAATGAAACAAGTACCTGTAATTGAATTATTTATAAACAACTGGTATTTACATATCTATAAAATGACATCCTTCTCGTTTAAACTTACAAAAAGAATAAATAAATCTCTGTTCCAATATGGAATTAACTTCATAACCTATTTACATCAGAAGTCAAAACTCCAACTGAACAAATTACATGGCTTCATACTAGTTACCAACCACTCTTCAATAAAATATAAAAGCCGACAAATTCTGTGTAATATTTACCATCTGTGAACAAAAATCAATAATCTTACAATATTGCAGACTGACACCACTGTACAAATTTCGTTGGTTTCTGTGGAGAAATTTCTTTGTTGGAATTTTACATTTACCTTACAAAAAAAGGTTCTATTTGTTCTTGCCTTTACATGCTACAGCATATAACCAATAGCTATAGCTATCACGTTATTATAAATACATAAAATATTAAACAGTAAAGCAATTCATATTCAACAGCATTCATCAACTCAATTGCAGCTGCTTGATCTTTACCCCAAAATGATGCCATGTTCTGTTTTCAACTTCTTCAATAGGCAATGTCAAAGGACTCTTATAATAACTAGTCTTTAACTGCTGCCTGAATGTCTGGTCGGCGATGAGTACCATCACAGAAGGGACGGTTGTTCGACTGTTTACAGTTACACAGCCAAACGTCCATAGTCTTTGGAGCCTTAAACACCACAGGTTTTTGCTTGATCTTCAGGAATGGACTCAGGTGGGTTCCATCACAGAAAGGCTGAAATGAAAATATGGAATATAAAAATAGCACATTAAACAAACTTCTGAATTTATGACAGAAAATAACAAACACACACAAGTGAGGTTTGTGGTATCACTTTAAATAGTTAATCATTCTGTCAAAATCACATTATAAAACTGATATGATTCAAATTTATTTCACAAACAGTGAACAATGAAAAGTGATATATATCTGTAAATCTTGAATAATACAATACGAAAATTAACAAAAAAGCAATATGTGTCTGAAACAACTGTTTAAGTTCCTTAGATAATACATAACTACTTAACACTAACTTAACATGAATAAATTCTTGGTATTCATGGACCATACCTATA